CTGGTTTGAAGGTTGTTGTGGTCTGTGCAAGCGGAATTGCGTATACTGTTGATAATTCTGGGGTTGCATCTACAGTGCATTCCAACTATGGCCTTGGCGTTGCTGACCTGCCTTGGAAGCAACTTGTTGAGAGATCGAGCATGACGAGCTTTGCCCGAGAAAAAAATTTATGTAAATTAGGTTAATAATAAGCCATGGGTGGATTCAACACACCCATGGCTTATGATTAACTGTAACTGAAGAACTTAGTCCGTGCCTTAGTAGGATTGAGGTGCTGCTTGGGAATTCTCGGTATTAATATTTTCACACTTGGTGGCGTTTAATTCTTGACATAATGAAAACGTTTTCAGATAGAGCATGCAGAATTGTTGGCACCACTCACGTGGAGACCTTTAGTCAAGTCAAACACTCATGCTAAACGCACAACCCGTATTTCTAATATTTATTGTCAAACACTTTTTATTGATCCAAACAGAACCCAAACGAAATGAAGCTAAACATGACAAAGGAAGTTCAGAAGTCTAAAAAATAAGGCGACTTTTTCGTTCATTATATATTTGTGAAGCTACGCTGAATGTTCACGATGGTGATATTTAGTGTGCCACCAGATAACATTTTTGTTAGGGAAAACATTCATTCAGTCTCGCTGAACACAATTCAATTAGTGGCCTAAATTCTAAGAGGACTTTGAAATANTTTTCTCAATGCGAAGTAACAGCCGTTTTTTCCCCCAAAATTGACTTTTCACAGGGATAAGACATTTAAAACATGGTTAAGTCTCTGCAGTTTTGACCCAATATGCTAAGCTCTCATAAGTGACAACCACCTGGACTTGACATTTTGGGTGGTCGCTTACAATTGCGAGATGTTCGACATAGTTGGTACTGAGTTGTGTATGTATAGTTTGCAACAGGATAAAAATGTGAAGGTCAGCGTTTTAACTCTAGGTTAAGCATGAATTGTAAGTGTGGCTTCCAAAAGGCATAACTTATTAATAACTGGCCAGGCTGGAACTGGAAAATCTACCGTAGTTGAAGAGATCATTGCAAATCGGAGTGCTGCTGGTTTGAAGGTTGTGGTCTGTTAAAGCGGAATTGTGTGTATTGTTTATAATTCCGTGGTTGCATCTACAGGGCATTCCAACTATGGCCTTGGCGTTGCTGACCTGCCTCGGAAGCAACTTGTTGAGAGGTTGAGCATGACGAGCTTTGCCCGAGAAAAAAATGTGTGCAAATTAGGTTAATAATAAGCCATGGGTGGATTCAACACACCCATGGCTTATGATTAACTGTAACTGAAGAACTTAGTTCGCGCCTTAGTATGATTAGGTGCTTCTTGGGAATTCTCAGTATTAATCTTTTCACACTTGGCAGCGTTCAATTCTTGACATAATGAAAATGTTTTCAGATAGAGCACGCGGAATTGTTGGCGCCACTCGCGTGGAGACCTTTAGTCAAGTCAAACACTCGTGCTAAATGCACAACCCATATTTCTAATATTTATTGTCAAACACTTTTTATTNACGAGCTTTGCCCACGAAAAAAATGTATGCAAATTAGGTTAATAATAAGCCATGGGTGGATTCAACACACCCATGGCTTATGATTAACTGTAACTGAAGAACTTAGTTCGCGCCTTAGTACGATTGAGGTGCTGCTTAGGAATTCTCGGTATGATCTTTTCACACTTGGCGGCGTTCAATTCTTGACATAATGAAAATGTTTTCCAGATAGAGCACGCGGAATTGTCGGCGCCACTCGCGTGGAGAACTTTAGTCAAGTCAAACACTCGCGCTAAACGCACAACCCGTATTTCTAATATTTATTGTCTAACACTTTTTATTGATCCAAACAGAACCCAAACGAAATGAAACTAAACATGACAAAGGAAGTTGAGAAGTCTAAAAAATAAATTCGAAGGGCCTCCTAAGGCAACTTTTTCGTTCATTATATATTTGCGAAGCTACGCTGAATGTTCACGACGGTGATATTTATTTAGTGCGCGGCCAGACCACATTTTCTTTAGCGAAAACATTCATTCAGTCTCGCCGAACACAATTCAATTAGTGGGCTAAATTCTAAGAGGACTTTGAAATAACCGGCCTTCAAAAGCTTAAAATACAGAGCCAAATATCGCAACTCACAAGCGACGTTTTCCTAATTCCAGTCATTACCTACGTGTACTTGCGATGCCACGCTGAACGTTAACCATGGCTATTCATAACAGCGCGGTCCACATTTAATTACGTTTCCTTTAGCGCTGAAAACATGCATTAATTCTCGCAGAATACAATTCAGTTAGTGGCCTTATCGCANTAACCATGGCTATTCATAACAGCGCGGTCCACATTTAATTACGTTTCCTTTAGCGCTGAAAACATGCATTAATTCTCGCAGAATACAATTCAGTTAGTGGCCTTATCGCAAATTACGATTCAATTTACTGAAACGTCTAAAACACATAAAGCCAAATAAAGCAACTCACAAGTGATGTTGTTAACTACATATTTGCGAAGCCACGCTGAATGTTCACGATGGTAATGACGGTCCAGTAATTCAGAGCGCGGCCAACATATCCTTCAGCGAGGGGCGTTCATCTGGTTCTTCGCAAAGTGCACGTTTTGCTACCCGTAGTGACCTTGAAGTTGCTGTAGGAAGCAAATCCAATACAGCTAAAACAATTTTACTCAACGAGTAAATGTCTGATGCATAACTTTGCCTACCACTACCGTTTACGATTTCAGGGGCAATGTGAGGATATCGCTTCTTGTATTTTTCTTGTTTGACTTCGGGCAACGACATCACTGGCTTGGGATCGGAAAAAAAACGTGCTTTCCCGAAATCTATTATAACAGGGTTCCATTTCTGCTCGCGCTGTTCCATCACCACGTTGTTACTCTTCAGGTCGTTGTGCAGAATGCCACAAGAGTGTATGTGGTCCAAAGCTTCGATGGTGTTTTGCAATATTCCAAGCCAAGTTGGTTTGTCCAGCTTCTTCTTCCTGATTAAGTTGGACAAAGTTACACTCTTGTCTTTACGGCCGTGGAACTTTGTGATGAGACGTAGGGGCTCACTCTTGGTCACAATACCAAAGAGCAGGGGGACTCCGCGGTGATCTTCGAGGTGGTTGATCATTTTTGCCTCGTGTCGAACTTCCTTCTTCATGTTGTCACGGCCAAACGTTTCAGCTTTGAATTCTTTTACGGCAACTAGGACGTCCCTATAATGAGCTAGGTAGCAATTTCCAAAACTACCACAGCCCAAAAACTTTTCCGATCTCACGATTAAGGAGGGATCTAACTCTCTCACGTGGCGATGTTCAACTTGTCTCTTTGATTTCGCAGCGTCTTTTGGGGCTGTTTTCTCCGGCAATTGGGCAACCGGACTGCTTATTTTCTCGGAGGCGAGTTTACCAGGGACGAGCTCCTTCTGCGCATTCTTCAACACTTTCTCGTAAGCCTTTTTGTTCCGCCACCTCTTTCGGGCTTCCTTTCTGATTTTCTTAAATTTCTCTTTGTCCTTTACCACTTTACGTTTGTTTCTAGCCATTGCACGTGCGCAAACAATACTGCCTCAAACACAGAAAGTGCAGTACTGAACTGAATAAGGAAGATTTGGTGAAATTTCAGATATTACGATTGACGTTTGTAAGCCTCGAGTTCGTAGGAATGTGTTAAGGAAATCACGCTGACTAAAAATTTCACTGTAGGACGAAGAGTGAACAAAGAGCCAGTCTATTGCGCCGCATGTGCACTAAATTTGCCGGAAGACCTCCCCCACTATCTACACCTTTTAAGTTTCATTGATTGGCCAAAATAAACAAGAAATCATTGATTACAATATTGTTTTATTGCCAGTTCAAGTGCGCAATTCGCAAGGCCCTTTTCTAGCGCTAGTTCTGAAATATGGCAGCTAATCTAACAGTATACAAAACACATTGTGATTTATGTCCGTCTGCATTCAACACAACAACTGCGCTAATGAGACACAGAGGCTCGAAACATCGCACTGATGCAGAGCCCATAACATCCCTTCCGTTCTACATTGGACAGGAGGTCATAAGGCTTCCTCCAACAATAAGAACAGGACCAAGATCTTCAAGCTACAAGCAATGGATAACTGGCATTGTGGACAGCATGAATTCATGTCTACATCCAAAAGCCGCTGGTATGTATTTTAAATTTATTTTTGTCACATGCTCGAATAGCTGTCAAAAAATGTGTACGCATACGTTTGTTGAATGAAAGAGCCTCTCACACTGTCAAACATTTGCTTTTAATATTAATTACGTCAAATGCTATTGTTACCGATCAAATTTGTCTGGAAAATTAGAAAAAAATCGCACAACTTCGCCTTTTATCTCGCTAAGATCTGGTAGAATTAATGGTAGAATGCGTGACAAGAGACTTAACCAGTCTCCCTGCAAATTCGAGCGAAGACAGTTTAATGTAACATACACGACAATTGATTTTTAATCTGGAGGTCGCAATGGTAACGGAAATGTTTACGCGTGGAAAATTCCTGTTTCGGTCGTGTTCTGTTTTCAGGATATGTCACCATAGATTAAGGGAAATTATTTCTCTCTCTACCAAGAGAGTGAAATAGGTTTTTTTCCAACAGTTTTTCCATTCTTTGGCGAAATTTAGTTCACTTAACCTTAATTAAAAATAAAAAACACAGTACTACATGTAGCCTCCATGAAGGCAACATTTTTTTTCCTAGAAAGCATTTTTATGCTCTTTTAAATGAGTTAAAGAAGATTATTCCCCTGTAGATATTTCTTGAGATAGTAAAGAAACAAATTAAACGTCATTTTTGTGCCTTTTGTTGGAGACTAGTGAAGGATTTCAGTACACTTGCAAGATTTTGAACAATCCTTAGCTAACACTGTTGTTGATATTAGTTATGTTGCACTCGGGTAGGATGCTACAGTTAATTTTGATGAAACGACACACAATCAACGAAACCAAACAATGGAAACCGCTCATAAAAGATTCCATTTTCTTTGTTTTCAGGGAAATGGTGTCGCGTTGAAAGGTTTCATGTTCCTGCGAAATATGTCCAGGCTATGTTGGCGGATATGCCAAATGCTTTTATCAACAGCGCCAGAGAAAAGAGGCATTTTCGCCCCCCTGTGTGGAGAGAAAAAGCTAAAGTGTATCACTACAGGGACTATGAAGTCGATGATGTTATTTCTGCCCTTGGCCAGCAAAGTGCTGAACCTTTAAAGCTAAAGCGAAGTTGTCTGGGAGATAAAGAGGTATCGACGAGGAATGAGCCGCAAAATGCCAAGCAAGCCCTACAGAAAGCTAAAGAGAGAGCACGAAGTAAGACTATTAAGACTCCATCAATACAAATTGAAATTGTAGTTGGGCATGGCGAAGGGCGAGCGACCCGAGAGTTTGAAGTAATCTGGTGGCCTGATCTATTCTCAGGTACAGGCTACGGGAAGTTAACCCTGAGATTTTATGTTTCAAAAGTTTTGCTTTGAATTGATGTGCATTGGGAATTTACTACAATGCCATATCGGTGAACTACTGGGATGATTTCCGGTCCATGCTGTGCACTCTCGAGAGTTTGTTTACGGTTTCTGTTCTGATTCGTGTAAGACGTCACAAAATGTCACAATTCGCAACTATTTACATGAAGTAAGTTCAAAGTTTCATCTCAACCGCCATTATGGATGTGAAGCTTTATGCTTAGTTCTTTCTGATGTCACTAGATGAAACCACTTTGTAGCCGTAAAAATCAAAGCAACTGTTGGAAAAAGAATTTAAAATGCCTTAGAGATAAGGTACATGTAAGCACTTCGTAACGAATAACATTGATTTGCATTCCATCAAGTGAGACTCACCAATGTTTGGGTGCTGAGAATGCGCAGTACGAACTGGAAGTAATCTTGAATGCAGTTTGGTCCAGCTGTCAAATTTAAAAGCCACTTAGTGCAGAAAGATTAAGGAACACTAACTGTTAAATCTACTAATTTGTCTTTTGACAACAAAAAGATAGAACTGAATAAGTACTCCTCCCTCCAAAAAATGAATGGACTTAGTACATAAGTACTTAATGATACTGATTAATTAATCAACAAAATGCTCTGCTGGGTTGAATAAATGCAAAATAATTTTGATGAAAATTAATATTAGATTCAGCTTTCATATATCAGCAGTCCATTATGGATTGACTATCCAAATGAGACAGAACAAATTAGTACAAGGATTAAAAACATTAGGTTCTGCCTTCAGATAACAACAGCCCATCATGAACTGACTACCCAAGTGAGACAACAAATTAGTGTGAAATAAGAACTGACTATCCAAGTGAGACAGAACAAATTAGTGCAAAATAATAATTATGATAACAAAAAGTTAGGTTCTGCCTTCAGATAACAACAGTCCATCAGAGACTGACTACCCAAGTGAGACAGAACAAATTAGTGCAAAATAATAATTATTATAACAAAAAGTTAGGTTCCGCCTTCAGATAACAACAGCCCATCATGGACTGACTACCCAAGTGAGACAGAACAAATTAGTGCAAAATAATAATGCTAAAACAATTATGTTCTGGCTTCAGATAACAACAGTCCATCATGGACTGACTACCCAAGTGAGACAGAACAAATTTGTACAAGATAAGGATCTTTTCCCCAAAAGAGAAATTAGCTTCTGCCTTAAGATGGCAACCCAGGAGAAAGGGAATAAATTAGTGCAAAATAGGGACTATTTTGAAAAAAAAAAAAAAATATTATTATTAGGGTTTGCCTCCAGATGACAAACGTCCTGCCAGTTTGGACTGACTACCCAAAAGAGAGAAGAAATCAGTACAGAATAAAAATGATTAAAAAGTACATGTATGCTTCAACCTTTAGATAGCAACATTCCACACTGAGCTAGAACCTGTTGAAACAAAATGAGATTGATTCAAGTTGTGCATTGAGAAGTAATTAATAACACATTGTTCATATGGTTAGTCAGGAATGATATGAATATATAAATAAAAACAAAGTTACTTACTTCTGGTCTGGTATTCAAATAGCATCCTAGTCTGTTTTTGAAAGCAATAGATAGTCCATTTTAGTCTGACCTCTACCTTTAAAAAACGCAACACCAGTTAGTGTTGGGTTTCTTAATGAAATTGCTCCAGGTCATTGAGGCACGCAAGCCACCTCACCGCGACAAGGTATGGACCACGAGGTGGAAAAAGGTGGTTGTAGTTCAGTCTTCAGATAACAACAGTCCATGTTGGACTGACTACCCAAGAGAGATTGAACTAGTTGGTACAAAATCAAAATAATAATATTAATAATAATAATAATAATAATAATAATAATAATAATAAGGTTCTGCCTTCAGATAACAACAGTCCAAAAGGACTGACTACCCAAGTGAGACAGAACAAATAAGTGCAAAATAATAAGAATAAAACAATTAAGTTCTGTCTTCAGATAACAACAGCCCATCATCGACTGACTACCCAAGTGAGACAGAACAAATTAGTGCAAGATAATAATGCTAAAACAATTAAGTTCTGCCTTCAGATAACAACAGCCCATCATGGACTGACTACCCAAGTGAGACAGAACAAATTAGTGCAAAATAATAATGCTAAAACATTTAAGTTCTGCCTTCAGATAACAACAGTCCATCATGGACTGACTACCCAAGTGAGACAGAACAAATTAGTGCAAAATAATAATAAAACAATTAGGTTCTGCCTTCAGATAACAACAGCCCATCATGGACTGACTACCCAAGTGAGACAGACCAAATTAGAGCAAAAAATTGTAGGGATAAAAAAAGTATTCGGGCTTCAGATAACAACAGCCCATCTGACATGAGACATAAGTTCTTCTTTTAGACATTAAGTGCTAGGATTCAAGCTTGTGCACTCCAATTAAGAATCTGCATCATTAATTGTTTTCTGTGCAAATCCATGTCACAGTAGCGCCACTGGAAGTTGTGAATGACCGAGGGACCCTTTAGGATAAAATCCTTTGCAGCCATGACAACACCAATACCACAGCTTCCAACTCCAATCATCTTTGAATTAATTGGATTCTGAGATGGCATGCCAAAACGCTGAAATCCCTGATGTTCTCGCCAGAAACGTGTTTGTAGAGATGTATGGCAAGGGTACATTTCCAAGAGCAATTCTAATGACCTTTTGACTGAAGGAAGGGCCAGATGCGGAGCATTAGAATTCAGTCCATCATCAAAATATACCTTTCTGTTGGCTACATCTACAAAGATTAGTCCCCAGTGGCTGGGCATGTACACTGGCACTAATATTTGTTTTAAGTCATCAATGTTTCTTAACAGCTTTAATCTTTCTCTCAACCGATGCTGTTGGAACTGCTTGTCATTTGAGCTCATCCAATCATAGAACTCTGTTGGAAAGTAAACTGTGAAATTATTTCCACTCTCTTTGGACTCATCGAGAAACTTGCTAATACAAATGTCAATGACAAAGCTGTCAATGTATCGCTCCTCGACAAGATCCGAAAATGATGTGGTATCTAATCTCTTATTACCATGCTTCAATATTGGCTGATTAGCTGGATGATGCCAAAGGGCATCTTGCAACCGCACAAGATCTCCAGGTGAGCACATCATCTGTGATAGCCAATTGGCTTCTGCAGATACCCGATGGTAAGTGTCTGCTATCGCACAGAATCGTTGCAAGATAGGTAAGGCATTCTCAGCGAACTGTCCTATGCCTTGAATCTCAATACCACTAGGATTCTTGCCAGCTTTTCGCTCATCGTGAATGATTTTGTTAGCCTTCTTGATATCACTTTCACAAGGACGCTCTGCTATAGAAAATGGATCTGAAATGGACAGATTTCCATAAACTGGCTTTAGCTGTGCAGAGAGTGATCGTGATGCTACTTTTGGAATGAGGCTGTAAAGGGCAGCAACTTCAGCTCTTGTTGTGGCCTTGGCAATCGCAACTTGAAGGCTGGTTTGCTGTGATGCCATCATATTACATTCATCTTCAATAATGACAGTGGCACTATCAGCAATTTTTGGGGATGGATCGCAATTAATGGAAGTGGAATCAGAGTTGCAGCTAAATTTTTTGTAAGTTAGTGTGGGGCTCTGTTCTTCTTCTGGCTGTTGATTGGTTCCAGTATCTATGTTGGCACCCTCATCCTCATCCCCTTGTGGCTTCATTGGCTGTGATGTTGTTGGATTTCCTTGGTCTTCGATCAAAGCAGAGTCAAGCTTTTCAGATGAAACATCGCATTTTTCGTGTCTAGGTGCTGATTGCTTTTTTTGTATCAGTTGTAGCATGTCATCAGCACTTAAATTAACTCTGGGGTGGCAATGATGCTTGGTATCATCATGTGGCTCTCCATCGTGTAGAGAGTAATGCCTCTCCCAGTACTCATGACAGTACTCTAAAAGGCTAGATGATAGCCCATCATCAACCTTACCTCCATGATCCTTTTCATAATCATATTTCAGGAAGTCAGTTCCAAACATCTGCTCAAACAGATCACAGACAACTATTATCCAGGTTTTCTTTTCATCTGTCCATGATTTCAAATCATAATCTCCACTTTTCCAACCACATCCACGATAAGAAAATGTTTTCTTTCCTGGAAACCAAAAAGGTACATTACACAATGCAATGACTTGATGTGTGCCATTTTCAATCCTGAGTAGTACTCAAAAATAATTTATTTGAGTGTAATAATCAGCTCACTTAATCAGAATGTCAACTACATGTAAATTTCAGTTCTATTGTGCATTATCCAATTAAGTGCCAAATTAAGTTAACTTACCCAACTGGATGCAATTCCTGGCTTCGTAGAATGAGTATCTTAAAGACAACAGCATAGTTGCATACCAGTGGGTGAGAATTTGATTCACTGAAAAAGGAAAGATTTTTTTAAGTCCCAAATAATTTTAGCAAACTGTTTGTTACTGCTCTTTACTGTGCAGCATATCAATACTTATTATATACATGTGCAGCCAGGCTTTTAGCCAGATGGGTGTCTAGGTGTCCCATGGATGGCCACTTTCTGAAGAAAATTGCTTTATTTTACATATGTTGCCTTCAAAATTGCTCATTTGAGCAGGACCTAGAGCACATTTTGGATGGCCTCTTCAAATTCTGGCTAAAAGCCTGTGTACAGCTTTATTAGCAAACATGAATAAATTAATGATGCACTTCATTTTAATGCTGCATTTACACTTGGCTAAAATGAATTTCAGGTCAAAATGATTTGAAGCATCACTGTGATTAATATTTTCATGATTCATAAAATTGTCAAACAGAATTGTACTTTTTTTTTTATGATCTTACTGTATATTTTAGACTTTTTATTGTAGCGAGTATATTTTGTAAGTAATGTTATCCCTAATTCATTTGTAATTAATTTTACACAACCCCACAAGCTTTGAGCTTTAAGTCTTATCATGTTTAAATAAAGGATATGTATGTATGTATGTACACATATATGTATGTAGAAAAAACCAGGCAAACTAGTTTTAATTTATTTTGACCTGAAGTTGACTTTAAATAACATCATTTAAATACGAATTTAAAATTAGACGGTGACTCACAGGACTGGCCAGGTCCAGATGCATCATGGTTTGTTGCCTTTGAGTACAACTGGCGATGCAGCTTGTGGGAGGACTCAAATCCTTGACCAGAGTATTTGTAAAGAGAGCGAAAATGACGCAAAAGCATAGCACTATGATCTACAACCAGGTGACCATAATCACCAGTGCCAAGATGCATACCAAATAACTTCTTTAGCAAAAACCCCCATTCCTTGCACTGTAGAGGAAGACCATCAGATGAAGTCAATAACAGAAGATTTAGCAAGCCAAGAATTTCAGATCATAGGACATACTTAAATTTGTAAACACATAATAACTTCACCTTTACATCATAGATGTCAATAAGCTGCTCTTCATGCTCTTCAAACACTCTGTCACGCATTGTTAGTGCGATCTCTCTCCAATCGCAGCAGACCTTTGACAAAGAACAATCATCAAGTGAGCTAGGATTCATTGCTTGTGAAATTCCTTAGCTTGTTTCCCAGGTACATGTAACAAATCATGCCAGACTGTCAATAAGTTTTGATTCACCTGCAGCCTTGAATTGTATCAACTACAGGCAAGTTTACCTGTACATATCAGGGGCCCATCAAACATACTCAGCCATAGCCGCTGTTATTGGTTACAAAGCTTATTGACAGCCCTGTCATGTGTACTTAAGATACATTTTGTACCCATCAAAATGTGGTGCAAGTTGCAGTCAACACTGTCATGAGATTACACAGCTCCTCAACATGTTGAACAGGCATTGGCAGTTCTGTTCATCAATATTATTATTATTGTCCACCGGTTTTAACCAATACTCTTCTAACAGATTTCTTACTTATATGTTAATGAAAATCTACATGTATATCTTTTTATCCTAATCAAAACCTTTCCAGATGAGTAATATATATCTATATGAATTGCTTAGAATCCTTAACTTTACCTTAGTAAACATCTCAAGTTGAATTTCTGCTGCATATGTGGCAAAGGGATCAGACAACTGTTCTTGTGGCTCTGTCTTCTTCCCTCTTTTCCGTTTTTTTGGCAATGGCACTTGCACTTTTGACTCTTCATCAAGCTCTAGGAATTTTTCTTCCACATCCTTCTGCTTGTTTACCCATTGCTCTTTTAGATCAACCAAGAATGCTTTGAGCTCTGTGTGAAAATGTAAGAATTCACAGAGTTTTGGAGTTGCTACATGTATGTATATCCAGAGAGAAAAGACGAAAAACTGTTATTAAATTATGGTTAATAGGCCATATAATAAGACACCTGCAAAGGGTCCTTTCCTCAAGTTTCTTAGTTTATTGATTTTATTGGACAGAAAATGCAACCAGGATAGATTCACTGCATGGTAGCTTAACATGGGGTCCACATATTACAGGTTTAAGTACAAAACATTACCTTTTATGTCATTGAGGTTGACTTGCTCTTGCTTTGAGCCATAATCTCGTATGAAGCTTCCCGTGTCAAGCAACTCACTAACAAACTGCAAGTAAACAACATACAACAACAACAACAATATTATTACACATTGTAGTCACCATCTGTCTTCTCATTGGCTAAAAGCCTACAGTTATTCTGGGAAACAGTGCAGCCTACAGATTATTCACTGGTCTGCTAGCAGATTAGTGAATAATCCGTAGGTTGCACATACAATGCATGATTTCCAACAGTAATATCAAGTTCACGTAAGAAAATGGCTTGTTGAAAATAAAGTGTGTTTGTCGTTATTTTCTTCATAACAATATAATATAATAAAACAATTATGAGATTTGGTTTTTGTGATATCCGAAGTAATCAAGGTCTCAGTTAGTGTTATCAGCTTCAGCCTTCGGCTTTGGCTGATAACACTTACCTCGACCTTGATTATTCCGAAACCTCATCCGAAAATTTTAAACTTTTTTTTTGTGTCCACAAAGGTAAGACATCCACTCACACAGCACACCTCAAACTGGGGTGTTAAGATTCACTTTGCTTACCAGTACTCTCTCTTCAAAGAATGTGACATAGTTCAAAATGACCTCTTTTGCAGCTCCAGGGGATCCCTTGTAATATTTTGTTACTTTCTCAAGTGGCAGTGATCTTTCTACAATTTCTTCAAAGTTCTTTAAAACTGCCCTTTCAGTAGAACCTAAGGGATAACAATTATAATAACAGTTACTGCAATTCAAATACAAGTAATGAACAATATCTACGTATAAACAACACTTAGTATCATAAAAATGAAAATAAATTAATTCCTCCTAATTATTANGTAATAATATTGATGAACAGAACTGCCAATACCTGTGCAACATGTTGAGAAGCCATGTACTCTCATGACAGTGTTGACTGCAACTGGCACCACTTTTTGGCGGGTACAAAATGTATCTTAAGTACACATGACAGGGCTGTCAATAAGCTTTGTAACCAATAAAAGCGGCTATGGCTGAGTATGTTTCATGGGCCCCTGATATGTACAGGTAAACTTGCCTGTAGTTGATACAATTCAAGGCTGCAGGTGAATCAAAACTTATTGACAGTCCAGCATGATGTGTTACATGTACCTGGCAAACATGCTAAGGAATTTCACAAGCAAAGAATCCTAGCTCACTTGATTGTTCCTGGTCATAGGTCTGCTGTGATTGGAGAGAGATCGCACTAACAATGCATGACAGAGTGTTTGAAGAGCATGAAGAGCAGCTTATTGACATCTATGATGTAAAGGTGAAATTATTATGTTTACAAATTTAAGTATGTCCTATAATCTGAAATTCTTGGCTTGCTAAATCTTCTGTTATTGACTTCTCTCTACAGTGCAAGGAATGGGGGTTTTTGGTAAAGAAGTTATTTGGTATGCATCTTGGCACTGGTGATTATGGTCACCTGGTTGTGGATCACAGTGCTATGCTTCTGCATCATTTTCGCTCTCTTTACAAACACTCTGGTCAAGGATTTGAGTCCTCCCACAAGCTGCATTGACAGTTGTACTCAAAGGCAACAAACCATGATGCTTCTGGACCTGGCCAGTCCTGTGAGTCACAATCTAATTTTAAATTCGTATTTAAATGATGTTATTTAAAGTCAACTTCAGGTCAAAATAAATTAAAACTAGTTTGGCTAATTTTTTCTACATACATACATATCCTTTATTTAAGCACGATAAGACTTAAAGCTCAAAGCTTGTGGGGTCGTGTAAAATTAATTACAAATGAATTAATTATAGGGATAACATTACTAACAAACCGCAAGTAAACAACATACAACAACAGCAATTATTATACATTGTAGTCACCATCTGTCTTCTCATTGGCTAAAAGCCTACAGTTATTCTGGGACACAGTGCAACCTACAGATTATTCACTAATCTGCTAGCAGATTAGTGAATAATGTGTAGGTTGCGTGTACAGTGCATGATTTCCAAGAGTAATATCAAGTTCACGTAAGAAAATGGCTTGTTGAAAATAAAGTGTGTTTGTCGTTATTTTCTTCATAACAATGTATAATAATACAATTATGAGATTCGGTTTTTGTGACATCCGAAATAATAAAGGTCTCAGTTAGTGTTATCAGCTTCAGCCTTCGGCTTCGGATGATAACACTTACCTCAATCTTGATTATTCCGAAGCCTCATCCAACTTTTTTTGTGTCCACAAAGGTAAGACATCCACTTGCACAGCACACCTCAAACTAGAGTGTAAAGATTCACTTTGCTTACCAGTACTCTCTCTTCAAAGAATGTGACATAGTTCAAAATGACCTCTTTTGCAGCTCCAGGGGATTCCTTGTAATATTTTGTCACTTTCTCAAGTGGCAATGATCTTTCTACAATTTCTTCAAAGTTCTTTAAAAGTGCCCTTTCAGTAGAACCTAAGGGATAATAATTATAATAATTATTATTATAATTATAATAACAGTTACTGCAATTCAAAAACTAGTAATTAACAATATCTACCTATAAACAACGCTTGTTATAAAAATGAAAATAAATTAATTCCTCCTAATTATTAAGAATGCTGATAAAATGAGTAAGATACAAATATATGGCAATGAACATCGATACCTGAAATAGATGCCACTTTTATGTTTGTTCTATCTATTTCTGTTTGCTGTCCTTTCCGTTCCTTTACAGTTACTCTTGGAAATGCCCGCAAATTTTCAGGACCATAATCAGACAAAGCCTCATTCAGCTTGTCAAGGCTTCCAATGCGACAAGCAAACAATCCCAAAGAGCCCAAAATTTGTTCGCAATTTCTCATCTCACAATGTAGAGAGCATAGGTTGATGGCACTTAGGTCTTCCTCCAGAAGGAAATTAAGATCATCTCGGATGCCTGAAGACCTATAAAGCAGAAAAAAGGAGAGCTTAAGTCTGGGAACTTCACCTGGGCATATCTGAAATTTGCTGCTTATCTCATTTCTTCACACCAGTCTCACCTTCCAATGTTTGCTTTAGATCTTAGGCAATCCAAACAGGTTTCATCTACGTCAGCTCCATGACATTTACAAGCCTAAATACAAATAAAATTTGAAATTGTAACATTTTATTTCTTGAATACTTTAACATAGTGTTCAATTCAAATGTAAAAAAAATGCTGAATTGTTAATACTGGTAATTGCTATCAAGAAAACCAGATACACTCGTCTGACTACATGTTAGCTGCCAATCATAATCATTTAATCATTATGTTTAGTGATTATCACTTGATGTATTCGGAAGATACATATTGTGATCAATTTATTGTTCTCTCAACTGCCCTATTCCATCAGGTGTTTTATATAGCAATTAAAGATATCAGTCTTGATTGAATTACAGCTTATGACCTACATGTACTTAACGTTAAGTCTATTCCACAAAACATTTCGGCAAACAAAGTAAAGATCCCAGTCTGTGTTGTTTCTTTGGTCATTTGCCTTGCTTTTTTTTGAGTCAAACTATTTTTCTCTATTTGTTGCTTTCTTGCATAATGGCAAATAAAATCAGGTTGTAGCCTATTCCTAATTTTTGGCAGATGCGTTTCAATATTTTTGGCTTACAGCAGACTGGTTAATGATATTACAGGTAAGTAAAAAATAAACAAACATAAGTACTCTGATAGCATCATAAAATACACAAAATTCCACGTCATATCCTTTGCCTCCAACTTTGAAATCTTCATCATCTTTCTTCTTCAGTAGAAGTAGCAAGGCTTTGTAATCAATAGTCACTGCATGAAGAACAGGAAATTTAGGAAACATTTAAATGGATTACACATAGGCAAATTATTGTTCATGACACATGTACATAGATAAAGAGTGGTATCATGTTCCTTTGTCAAATCCATATTAATGAACATTAATTGAAAAATAACATTGACGTTGATGGTTGTTGTTAGGGCAACACGATCATGAGTATGCATTTTGCATGCATGCATTATTTCTGTGTGCAAAAATGCAGATTTCAGGAAATTCAACTGATAGACAGCTTAAGTATGTATTAAACATTATCAATCATAATGATTCTTAATTTTGCAGGTTTATATAAAGTACTAGTTTATACCCTTGCCTTTGTATCTCTTGAATTACTTGTGAAAGAAATTTTATACTCTTTCTATCCACCCACATGCCATATTTTGTAATAGCATTCTTTTGATAATTTAGATTCCTGAGTAACTGCTTTGAATTCAACCTAACAAAAAACCAACGTCAGCATCATTAGCATTCTGCAGTGGACTACTATCGGCACAATTTTCAAGCCTGTTATGACTATTAATCTTATAGCCAACCAAGCATGCATATTGAACACTAAGAATAATTTCTGTTAGCAATAATATGCTCCTGTGATCGACCACCCCAGGCACATTTTTGAGCAAAAATGTTTGAGAACTATGAGGGACATTACAGCACTAAAGGCTGCCAATGTTTGCAAAGAAGTGAAGAGAGAAGCCTGGAACTGTGAACTAAAACTGCAGGCAAGAGCACAGGCTCAGAGCAAGTTGTAAAGATCAAATCAGGGTCAAACTTGAAGAGGACACAAACAGATGAAATATCAGGGTCTATTAAGGGTTTCCAGAAGTGTCAGAGAAGGTCAAAGTACTGTACACTGAATTTTACACTTGCATCCTAAAAATGTTATTAATGACCTGGAAAGTCAGCAACCTCTGGCCATTAAGTACCACATACGCTAAAAAGTTGATCATCTTTTATATGTTTGTCTGTACATATTTTGTTGTTTATATGTTGGTTACAATGGCAAAAAAGATAACCCCCATTGACACCCACATTTAAAATGATTTAAAAGATCCTAAGGATGGAGTTTGAGAGGAAAACAAGTCAGAAGGTATCATAGATGTAAGTAACTGAGAAAGTAGTTTTATTAATTATTTCTGAATTAAAAGCAAGAATTCTAGCTAAACAATTGTTCTTTATGTTTAATTTGGAATCTTATTTTTTTGGAGGCTTGATCATAGAATATCAATCATATTCAATATAAATTGCCTAATTAGTTATAGGAACATCATTTTGAGTGAATATTAAAAAAAAGAGAAGGTTTAGTTCATACAATAATGTGTACGAAAGGCTGGTTTTCACTAGAGCATAAGCACAAGGACAAGCATAAGCATAAGCACTAGAGAAAACAGCTGCAACATAAACATAAGCATATAAGCAGAAACATAAGTGCAAATTAATATTAGTTTATTAGGTTTAATGGATTGTATTCTTAGATTGTATTTCAGCCGCACCTATCTTTACGCGTATTATATTCTCCTTGAGGTTGCACGATTGGCGACTCGTACAATTGTATTTTATTTTATTCCATATTCTTTGATATACGCTGCATTCCCACAATGGGGAAAACCAGTAAACGTGCTAAAACATGCCCCAGCTGTCTCACTCAGCAAGAAGAGCATCAATTCGGTCCAGTTGGGAAACATTGTACAGGACCACCTTCGACCGAAGACAACCACAGCAGCTCAAAGTCCAGCGATGCAGACAAATAACTTCCCAAGTCTGCTGTTAAGAACACCACAGCTTCGCCTTCTTCCCTGGACTCAGTTCTCGCCGCAATCAGCAATCTAGCCCTACAAGTTGACAAACTTGCGACAGATCAACAGCGAATTAATACAGAGGTACAGCAAATGAAAAACACACCGCAGGGTGCCACTGCTTGCATTCAGCCGAGTCAGATGCCACAATCCAGCATGACCAAGGACCCATCTCTCCCCAGCAAAGATATTTCACATCAGCCGACCAAGCTGGAACAGTCAATTCTTCGCAGTGAGTATGTCAATTTTATTGACTTACTTAAACCACACAAAGAACATGTAGCTCACGGAGAAGACGCGGTAGTAGTCGACCAAGAGGGGAATTTAACCTTACAGAAATCCCGCTCCCAAAGTGCAATCGACTCCTTTTCCGCATGGCTTTCGGCCTGGTCGGAATACGAATGAATAATTGTGCTTGCTAATCCTCACTGCTACGGCGAAATGGCCAAATATCGCATTATTCACCAAGGGAGGCGAAAATTTATCTGGTCAGCGGTCTATGCCTACGATGTCCGCTTTCAGCAGGAATCCGCTAGAGTAGGGGGCCAGCGCTTCGATATTCTCGACCACTCCTTGTACATGACCGCACTTGACGCCACTGCCCTAAGGAAGGATGCCAAACAATGTTTCTGTTGTGAATCTTTTGATCACGAGACCAGGGAATGTCCCTTTCTCCCGGCCTCCACGTTGGAGACGCCGGTGCAGAAAAAGAGCCCTTCGAACCCACAAGGAACCTATTGTCCTGCCCAACCATGGAAGCTGGAAAAGTGGTTCCATGACAACCGTGAAGAGTGCAGCCTGTTCCAATGGCATGCCTGCAATCTGGGTACAGGGTGCAAATGGGCACACGTATGCAAAGCCTGCCGAGGGCACCACGCCCTGGCAGATTGCACACAATCTGCCTGAACCCTGGTCCCCATTCTTTGTAGCCAAGTGGAGTGCAGCACTCGTCAACCATCCAGACAACGCCTTCGTCGAGGCGCTCCTTCATGACATCACGCACGAGGTAGAATTTGGCTACAGTGGACCGACAATATTTCAATCCTACCCCAATNCTGCCCTTTCAGTAGAACCTAAGGGATAACAATTATAATAACAGTTACTGCAATTCAAATACAAGTAATGAACAATATCTACGTATAAACAACACTTAGTATCATAAAAATGAAAATAAATTAATTCCTCCTAATTATTAAGAATGCTGATAAAATGAGTAAGATACAAGTATATGGCAATCAACACCGATACCTGAAAAAGATGCCACTTTTATGTTTGTTCTATCTATTTCTGTTTGCTGTCCTTTCCGTTCCTTTACAGTTACTCTTGGAAATGCCCGCAAATTTTCAGGACCATAATCAGACAAAGCCTCATTCAGCTTGTCAAGGCTTCCAATGCGACAAGCAAACAATCCCAAAGAGCCCAAAATTTGTTCGCAATTTCTCATCTCACAATGTAGAGAGCATAGGTTGATGGCACTTAGGTCTTCCTCCAGAAGGAAATTAAGATCATCTCGGATGCCTGAAGACCTATAAAGCACAAAAAAGGAGAGCTAAAGTCTGGAAACTTCACCTGGGCATATCTGAAATTTGCTGCACTTATCTCATTTCCTCACATCAGTCTCACCTTCCAATGTTTGCTTTAGATCTTAGGCAATCCAAACAGGTTTCATCTACGTCAGCTCCATGACATGTACAAGCCTAAATACAAATAAAATTTGAAATTGTAACATTTTATTTCTTGAATACTTTAACAAAGTGCTCAATTCAAATGTAAAAAAATGCTGAATTGTTAATCCAGATAATTGCTATCAAGAAAACCAGATACACTCATCTGACTACATGTTAGCTGCCAATCATAATTATTTAATCATTATGTTTAGTGATTATTACTTGATGTATTCAGGAGATACAAATTGTGATCAATTTATTGTTCTCTCAACTTCCCTATTCCATCAGGTGTTTTATAAAGCAATTAAAGACATTATCAGCCTTGATTGAAATATACTTTATGACCTACATGTACTTAACTTTAAGTCTATTCCACAAAACATTTCGGCAAACAAAGTACAGATCTCAGTCTGTGTTGTTTGTTTGCCTTGCTTTTTTTTTGAGTCAAACTATTTCTCTCTATTTGTTGCTTTCTTGCATAATGGCAAATAAAATCAGGTTGTAGCATATTCCTATTTTTGGCAGATGCATTTCAATATTTTTGGCTTACAGCAGACTGGTTAATGATATTACATCTAAGTAAAAAATAAACAAACATAAGTACTCTGATAGCATCACAAAATGCACAAAATTCCACGTCATATCCTTTGCCTCCAAGTTTGAAATCTTCATCATCTTTCTTATTCAGTAGAAGTAGCAAGGCCTTGTAATCAATAGTCACTGCATGAAGAACAGGAAATTTAGGAAACATTTAAATGGATTACACACTGGTAAATTATTTTTCATAACACATGTACATAGATAAAGAGTGGTATCTGATGTTCCTTTGTCAAATCCATATTAATGAACATTAATTGAAAAATAACATTGACATTGATGGTTGTTGTTAGGGCAACATGATCATGAGTATGCATTTTACATGCATGCATTATTTCTGTGTGCAAAAATGCAGATTTCAGGGAATTCAACTGATAGACAGCTTAAGAATGTATTAAACATTAAAAATCTTAATGATTCTTAATTTTGCAGGTTTATCTTAAGTACTAGTTTATACCCTTGCCTTTGTATCTCTTGAATTACCTGTGAAAGAAATTTTATACTTTTTTCCATCCACCCACAAGCCATATTTTTTAATAGCATTCTTTTGATGATTTAGATTCCTGAGTAACTGCTTTAAATTTGACCTAACAAAAAACCAACATCAGCATCATTAGCATTCTGCAGTGGACTACTATTGGCACAATTTTCAAGCCCGTTATGACTATTAATCTTATAGCCAGCCAAGCATGCACATTGAACACTAAGATTAATTTCTGTTAGCAATAATATGCTCCTGTGATCAACCACGCCAGGCACATTTTTGAGCAAAAATGTTTGAGAACTTTGAGGAACATTACAGCACTAAAGGCTGCACATGTTTGCAAAGAAGTGAAGAGAGAGGCCTGGAACTGTTGACTAAAACTACAGGCAAGAGCACAGGCTCGGAGCAAGTTGTAAAGACCAAATCAGGGTCAAACTCGAAGAGGACACGCAAACAGACGAAATATCAGGGTCTATTAAGGATAAGCATAAGCACAAGGAAAACAAACAGTTCTGTTTTTCTTGTGCTTATGCTTATGCTTATGTCGAGCACGCTACTAGTGAAAACAGCACAAGACAAATAAGTGTGCTCATTAATTCTTATGTTTCTGCTTATGCTTAATATGTTTAATACATATGTCCCAGCTGTTTTCACTTGTGCTTATGCTTATGCTTGTGCTTGTGCTAATGCTCTAGTGAAAACCAGCCTTAATTGTTTTCAATCAGCGCACATACAAAAACAGAAAATGGGGACAGCTTCAGTTAGAACTACAGTATTACTACTTCATAATTGTTTCATTTATCATGATACCTGATTTAAGCGCTACTAACCTTTTTTCTTTACAGTTCCCTATTGCAATGGGGTAAATTGACAATGCACTCTCAGAACTCTTGTTGTCAAAATTAATGGGTGCCAGGCCTACAGCCACTTGATCTTTACCTATTTTTGATTGAATACAAAAACGCATATATAAATAAGCAGCTTTTATGGAACATATTTCCAAACATATATAGTTATACTTTTGAAATAATTATTACTAAATAATTATTTTATACGTTAAAGATGATTTCCAGTCTATACTGTGCAGACCAATGAGTCCCATACAAAAGAATAACGCCCATTTCCCAAATGAATACAGTCAATATTTTTGCATCTTTAAATATAATATTATTATTATTTCATATTGAACAAAACTTAGCAGACCTACATGTATGCTTAAAGCCACCTTAAAGGACCATTAAAATAACACACACCTCCAAGGGGGCGTCCATCAAGTTTTATGTTGAACTCTTTGTCTTCTGTGTCACATGAATGAAGACGCTGCTCCCTTATTGCCCACACAAGAACAGAACCAAGATCAACATCGCAAGCATCAAAATCTGCCTCACCAACTTTTGCAATTTTCAAAGTTTTTCGTACCACAGTGAACACTAGTTTTTTTATGGCTTTGATTTTGTTCTTTGATAGCAGTACAGGTGTGTCCTCAGATCTCTTAAGGAAAATTAAAAAAAACAAGAAGATCTGTTAGATCTTATAACCGCGCTTTTAAAATTTAACTGTTTGCTTAGCACTACCGTCGGAACGCAGTGCACATTCCAAA